AAGTTTGAAATATTTAAATTATTTCTAAATATTTTGAAATGTTTTGCATTCTTCTAATAATTTTTAAATTTATTTTACCTTATTTGCTCTTCACATATTTAGATAATTCTTTCATTATATTTCGAAATATTTTCATTATGCAATAATTTCGAAAAATTATTTCACAATATTTTGAAAGAATTTGCATAGTGCAATAATTTCAAAATTTATTTCACAATTTTTTGAAATATTTTGTGTTTTGCAAAAATTTCGAAATATCTTTCATATTATTTCAAAATTTTTGCGCTATGCAAATTCTTTCAAAATATTTCGCATCTATAATTTTGCTAATGTAAGTCTATATAAATAAAAAATCAATATATAAGAAAATTTCTAAAAAAAAGCTTTTTAATATAGAGAGTTGGTGCTTGATACAAGAAAAGCAATAAATATATCAGAAATAAAGAGAAGATATACTAGTAAGTAATATGATAATATAAAAAAAAGTTATAAAAAAAAAATAAATTTACTAAAATTTAAACATTTCTAATACTAATACTAGTTTTAGTAAATACAGAATACACTAAAGTTGAACAAAATTTAAGAGATAATCTTGGTATCTTACTTAGTAAATTTGTATTAAAGGTAAATTCAAAGAATTATAAATACTTAGTAATATCTAATAAGATAGTACTTTAATATAAATAGTAATTAGATAGCCCTAACCTAATATGTTACTACAATAGTAATATAAATATTGCATATATACAAATAGTGTTAAAATTCAGAAAGTTTAAATAAGAGACCCAAAGATAAGTTTCAAATATGGTATCTAGTGAGTAATCTATAGATAGAACTCTTAATTAGATAATAACTAAAGTTATATATATGGCTAGTTGTATTTTTATTAATAGACTACTATATATAAAAATATAATCATACATTACTTAATAAAAAACATATAGGCAAGATTGCTACTTTAAACTAAAAAAAAAAATTAATAGATATTTATTTTTAAAAATTATTACAAAAAGCTAAAAAAAACTCTTTTCTGTTTATTACTAACTGGAAAAGACAAATAGAAAATCATAATTATAAAATCATTAAATAGAAACCTAAACCCTAAAAATAAGATACTATCAAGAGCTAAAACCTTTGTTCTAAGAAAAAAAAAGATTCATCGACTAGTGGAACCTTTAGTAACTGAAAAAATCTTCAAATAAGAAAACTTAATGAAAAAAAGAAAGAAAAAGAAACTAACAACTTATTTACAGAAAAATAAAATAAAACAAAACTTGATAATATAACTACAGCTCAAGAAAAGATATCAGCAATAGAAAAAGATTTAGTTTCAGTAGTAGTGATCCAAAACAAAAAAGACTGGCAAAAAAATATAGACCAAAATGAAAACAACCTTCAGGTCTTGAAAAACACATACAATACTATAAAAGAAATAAACAATAAAAAAGAAAACAACAACAGGAACAGTCATATGTTAAATGAAAAATGTAACAACAACAACATCTCAGATAATCAACCAGCATCAAGGCTACATAAAGCTATGCATCAATTACTAAACAAGACATGAGCTTGTTAGCTAAATTAAAATGAGAAAAATTAACCTTTGTTGTATTTTCTTCTAGAAATCAAATTAGATCCAAAAACAACTATACATTGATTGTTGAAATTGCAAAGCTTTGCAACTTTCTTAATAAAATCATGGTTTCTTTATATAAGAACATAGGAGAAAACAAAGTTGTAGCCAAGCAACACTTTAAAAAAGGCTTAAAAACCCATCTTGAAATCATATTTTTAAAACAGGTTCATTTAATGCATTATGCAACTAATAAAGTCAAAATTTTTAAAGAAACATACTACAGATATATTTCTACAGATGTATGCAAATCCTTTTTGTTAGTCAAGGTTAGAAATATGTCTTTAGGTGTGAAAGAACATATCTCTAACCAGGTCAAAGAGGCCTTTCAAGACTTTAAAAAGATTATATCTATTAAATCATTGCTTATTGAAAGTACATCATATCTAACAAACCAATGGATAGTTGTTTTTAATAATACAGATGACCTAGAACATAAAAAAAGAATTTCTCACTTTATCTATATGGAGGACAACAGAGTAACTACAGAATGAAAAGAAGCTTCTAAAATATATTACTTCTGTGATCAAACTAGTCATATTAAGAAAAACTGTATACAGTTTCAAGAAGCAAGAAATCTAAGAAAACACTATTAAAAATATAAAAACAGAAAGGTTCAAATAAAAATTCCTAGCAAAAACTCGTTTGAACATACTATGAACTTCAATGAGAAAACTTCTGCAGTACAAGAAACAGTACAAAATACTGACATGAAATCAGAATCTTCTCAAGAACAAACAACTCTCTTGAGAGAGAAAATGCAAAAAACAACATAGTTATTAATACAAAAACTCTATTTTTGAAAGAAGGAAATATAGATGACTTCACAGAAAATATAATTTCAGAAGGAACAATTGCAGACTCTTGAAGTCTTCAAACTAAATATCAAGAAAATACAGAAAACATGCCCTTCACTTTAGTTATATATAAAAAAAGAAGACTCTATAAGACTTCTAACAAAGAAAACCAACAAGAAAAACTAAGACAAAGAGCATGAAATAGCTTCAAAAATTACTAGTTTTATTATGAACAATATATTAATCAAGATAGTCACCCTAAACATTAAAGCATTAAATAATGTAGACAAATGACTTAGAACTTTATCACTTTTAAAATCTTATAGACTAGATATTATTCTTTTACAAAAATAAATATATTTAACAATGCAACTTGACAATTTTTAAAAAATTAATAGTCTTTTGATTCAGTCTAGACAGGCAGAACAGCAATTCTAACAGAAAACAAAGAAATAAAATTTGAAGAAACCAAGTTATCACAAGAAGGCAGAATAATTTCTATCTGTTTTATCTTTATAGTATTGTTAATAGTTTGGTTTGGTTTGGGTTATAAACCAGTGAAGCAAATCCAAAACCAAATCAAACTGATTTAATTATTCTACCTTATATTCCAGTTTATATTTCAGTTTATATTCCAGTTTATACTTAGTTTATACTTCAGTTTATATTTTAGTTTATACTTTAACTTTGTATTTCAATTTATATTTCAGTTTTGTGCTTCAGTTATATTTTAGTTTATACTTTAGTTTATATTTTAAAGCAATATTTTAGTTTATACTTCAGTTTATACTTTAGAGCAATACTTTATCCAAGACAATTTTAAAAAAATAAAACCAACTTAATATTAATATTATTTAATAAAATTTAAAAAGATCTAATAATATAAATATCTTAACATTTTTAAAAATATAAAGACAACTTTAATAATAATAAAAATAAAATAATTAAATTAAAATACTTTTATATTTTATTAATATAAAACATTTAAAGTTAGTTATTATTTAAATATATGTTAATAAATAAGTAAAAAAAATACAAATTGTTATATAAGATCTATATAATAAACTAGTTTAATAAATTAGTTTAATAAACTAGTTAAATTAATAAACTTATTAATAAACTAGTTAATAAACTAATTTAATAAACTAGTTAATAAATTAGTTTTTTTTTTTTTTTTAATGTTAAGGCAAGTATTTGCAACCCAGGAGTTTATTGATAATCAGTCAGCATATAACTATTGTGTACAACAGCTACAGAGGCAATTTTAAAAAGAGTATACAACTAGCCACTTATACAACTTTAGTTATTGTCTATTTTAAGTAGTTTACCCAAAAGTTCTACACTAGTTGCCATATCTAAAACCTGCCTGTGGGTTTTCTATTTAAACACTCTAGTTCTCATATTCACCTCTACTCTATCAACTGCAGTTATTGCTGCAAATATATCATAGTCACTAAGTCATATTTAACTTTATACTAAGCCCACCAGAGCTTTCTGTATCCCATACTTACAGCTGACCTAGTACCACTCTGGCCTAGACCATTACTTGCAGTTAGGGCTAACCATTAAACTGCTATACCTTTGTAAAGTTCACAAGAACTCTGGTAGCTTTCTTTCCTAACTTCTACTCCCTACTTTTGGACCTACAAGACCCACAAGACTTCACAAACTACCAATCCAGATGGCCTGTCTAGCAAACCTGACAGCCTGGTTGGTATATGCTCCTCTACATATGTTGTCATCTGATCTATTTAAGGTTCTAGTAATCCTTTTTTGGGGCCTTCTGATGGTTTAGTAGTACTGTCAAAAGTTCATGCTACCTTTTTACTCAGGATTTCTAAGTGGGTTTCTGACTTTTCAGTTCCTTTGCTTTCTGCACTCAGTGGTCTTATTGTGAGTTTGCACTGAAGTCTTATACAGCACTGGTTATTAACATTTCTTTATATAGATGTAATATTACACTTTGCATAGATGTCCTGAGCTCCCATTCAAGATAGTGCAACAAAGGTTACAGATACACTAATCCAACTGATCAACAGAGACAGTTACTGTATCACAGATCTTATTTTCCAAAATTTATTATCTATGGGATTTGAACTCTAGACCTGCCACTTGGGGGTTGACAACCTGACTACTTTACTAGGTCACTACACTCCTTTGTTAATAAATTAGTTTAATAAACTAGATTAATAAATTAAATTAATAAACTAGTTTAATAAAACTAGTTTAATAATCAGTTTAACACTTCAGTTTAATAAACTAGTTTTTAATATTTCAGTTTAACAAACTAGTTTACTATTTTGGTTTACTCCAGTTTATCAAATTTTAATCTACTCCAAATTGGGTTGAAGTTAAACTAGAGTTACTCTGAAGCAATATACTTTATTTAACAACTCTATACCTTTAAGAAGTTTTTTTTCTATATAATTAATGTTTATGCTCTACTGAACATCTTAGATAGAATCTTATTTTTTGACAACTGGGCAATTAAAAAGAAAGATAACATGATTAACATTCTGGCAAAAGATCTAAATACAAATCTAGACTTAGAAGTTAATAGAATAAGCCAAGCAAGTGCTCAAAATGATCCTTCAAAATTACTTCTTAAGGGTATTGTAAAGGATTTCATAGATTCTGCATTCTTTATATCTTAGAATCTCTTTTATACTTTTCATCAAAAAACATATAACAATCAAATAATAACTACTCAATTAGACTATATTTTTATAGATAAGACTATAATCATCTAAATTCAGAAACAAAAACAAAATTTGAAAATTCAGATTATCTATTAGTTAAATGTATTCTAAGTTTAAAACAAGAACCTAGACACTCAGCTCTCTGAAGATTTGATGTAAACTCTTTTAAAAACAATATTCTAACAAAAAGGTTCTGAATAAAATTCAAGAAGCTATATCTGCAGCAAACTAGAATATACATAAAGTTTATATAAAATCTATTATAAAAGCTTTTAAAAAGCCTAAGACACCAGAAGATAAAATAAAAAGACTAAACAAAAAAGTTAGTTAAACAAAAGATGCCATAGCCAAAAATCCTAATCAGACTCATCTTTTCACTATACTAGATATACTCAACTCACAAATTCAGTTTGAATTAACAAAGCTAGCAAATAGATAGCAACAACATTCAAAAGCAAACTGGATAGAATTAGGAGAAAAATTCACCAAATACTTTTATGCTCACTTTAAAGCTAGAAAGTTATATACAGTTTTGGCAGAAATACAAATATTCTTTACTCAAGAACAATATAATGAAAAAGAAGTACTCAACTATATTAAAGAACAATATACAAAAATATATAGTAAAAAAAAAATAATAACACAATAGCAAAACAAATTACCAAAAATTTTCTACAGACCTTCGATTAAATGAACAGCAAACTAGTAAAACATATCTCTCAAGAAGAAATCTTAGAGTTATCAAAAAACTACCTAACAACAAGTCTTCAAGGTTAGACAACCTTACCTATGAGTTCTATAAACTGACTAAAGAATATATCACATCTGTTCTAGAACAAGTCTTTAATCAGGTTTTAGACTCAAGAATACTATTATCTTTATAGTGTAAAAACTTAATTATATTAATACCAAAAAAATCCAAAGAACTTCACAATATAAACAATTGGAAACCTATATCTCTAGTTAACTATGATGCAAAAATTTTTATAAAAATTGTTACTAATAGATTAAATCTAATATGCAGTGAAATAGTATCTTTATATCAGCACAAATTTATCACAAATAAACTAATTACAGACTCAGTTTTGGACATACTTACAATTCTGAAAAACTAAGATAATGAATCCAAAAAATACTGGATGCTTTTTGTTGATTAACAAAAAGTATTTGACAGAATAAGTTATAAATTTTTACAAATAGTTTTCAAAAATATGAACTTTACTGAAAAATTTAGAAACTTGATAAAAAACTTATTCAATCAACAAGAAGCTTATATTTTGGACTCTGGATACATTTTAGACTTCTTTAAAGTAAAAAGAAGAGCCAGACAAGGCAACCCTCTCTCATCTTTACTATACATACTTGTATTTGAACCTTTGCTAAACATGTTAAACAACAAATTAACAGAAATCAAAATTGGTAATCAATCTTTCAAATATGCAGCATATGCAGATGACTTTATAATTGGAATTAGCTCATATTCAGACTAGACAACAATCTTAGACTTGTTTAGCAAATATAAAAAAGCTTCTAATACAAAAATTAACAAACTTAAAACAAATCTAATACCTCTTACAAATACAGCTAGAAGTATAGAACTTCCAGAAGAAACTTGCTTTAAAAAACTTAAGGAACAAGATGATATTACAGTCTTAGGCTATAACATTACAGCCAATGGTATACCAAAAAATAGTCTATAGTAAAAAGCTATAAACAGACTTAAACTAAGTTTAAAAAGACTTATATACAAAAACCTGTCACTCAAAGAAAGAATTATGCTCACAAATTCTTTACTTCTATCAAAAATATAGTATGTTGTATATCTAACATTACCAAATAGGAAACAAGTTGCAGAAATCAACAGACTTGATCAAAGACAACTTCAAAATGTTACCAAAATACTCTACTTTTCAACAAACTTATGAACAAAATAGTCTACAAGCTCCAATAGTTGGCAACTTACTAGAGGCTAGACTATTATCAGTTTGGACCAAACTAATCTTAAGTAATCTCTTATGAACAAAAGTAGAAAAAAATAAAATCTCTCTTCTGCTTATTTAAAAAAGAAATATTTTAGTATAAAAGATGCTCTTTATACAGCCTATTAGATTAAAAGCTTGGTCTACAGAATAGAAACTCTATCTTCTGGTCTGGAAAAAAATAAAAGAAAAAATATTATTAGAATCTGACTAGTCATGATGTCTAACAGAATTAGAAATAGACAGAAAAAAAGCTACTAAAATATCAGTTAAATATATAGTAAAACTTTTAAGAAAACTTAGCTTTAAATCAATAAATCAAATAGAGCCTATAGCATATTTATAAAACCAGAACTGAATTCTCCAAAAAGCAATACTAAAAAAAAAAGAGACATACTTTGGTGATTATTTTACAAAGCTTTACTAACTTCGACACTTTGTACTAACAAATTTAAGAGAATGCCTATAGTGTCCTAAACAGATACAAACAATTGAGCACTTTGCTGCAAAATGCAAAATCTGCAAACTGATTTGGACAGAAGTATACAAATTCTTAAAAACAAATTAAACAAAACCTATACCTGATACAATAGAAAAAATATTCTTAAAAAATGTTATTGAAAAAACAAAGACATATAGAACTATTCTATAGCTACATATACATTTTATATATAAAATCTGATACTGTTATGCAGTCTACAAATAGGGTGGTGATATACAATACTCAGATATAGTACTCTCTAAGATTGCAAAGAATAGAATCTCTAAAGAAATTATTCTGATTTATAACAAATGCTTCATGAAGTCTATTTATAAAAAAATATATAAATATTTAGTTTAAAATTATTTTAATATATAATTAATATTGCTATAAGTAAGGGTGTGATAACTTAATGAAGTGGATAAGTTGTCAATCTTCCAAGTAGTAGGTAGTGAGTTCAAAACCTACTAACAGCAAAAATTTGGATAATCTTCAATGTAATATATAGATGATATTATGGCAACAGCATTCTGTTGATCAGTTGGAATAAGATACCTGTAACATAGTTGCACTAGCATAACTGGCAGATCATAGGGCATCTGTGCAATGTTGGAGTTACATAAAGAAATACAAACTAGCATTAAATGATGCAAACTCAAAATAAGCTCTTATGGCTGTATGAACCTATGAACTAGAAAGCTAGAGCCTACTTGGGAAGATCTAAGTAGAGAGGTAGCACAGATTTTCAACAGTACTACTGTAAAGGCTAGACCTAGGAAATGGAAACCAATATGGAAGAAATCAGGTAGGCAAGAACCTTAGATGAGAGGTATTACCAATCAGGCTACCAGAAGTCTTGAACTGGAAGAAAAGAACCTTGAAGAACAGACCCTAGGGTACCAAGGACAGGTCATAATCCTATCAGGCTATCTGGATTAGGAGTCTGAGATCAGAAACAGAGATATACTATAAGTACTAGAGATATGCTATGAAGTTGGTGCTAAGGTCTAAGTGAACTCTGCAAGAACAAGCTCTGTTAATAAAGTACTAAAAGTAGATAGTTAGTTAGCAGAGAGGCACTTTTCAGCCTTACAGTCAGATAACATACTCTGAAATATGTAATGGCTTAACAGATGTACAGAAAAAAAGGTCAAGATTAGGTTAGACAGCATCTAATATAGGTGTACAAGAACTTGTATATTATTTGTTAGTGTAGTATAGGAATCAGAGTATTTAAAATAGGTAATCTTTTAGTAGATTGCAGGTATGGCAGCTAGTGTAGAACCTATTGTGTAGGCCAAAAATTGTATGAGTGGCTAGTTGTATACTCACCTTGTACAAGTTATATAACTATAATTAAAAATACAATAAAGGCAGTAGCTACTAATAATTATGGCCTTAGCAAAAGCAAAAAAAAATATTGTCATAAGTAGCACTTAATAAAAAAGAGCACTACACACACTCCACAATGATTGTAAAAACATTAGAAATAGTTAAAAAAAATTATTACAATATAGTACAATATATTATCATTAATATAATAAAATTCTATCTATTAATAAAACAAATACTGTTAGTGTCTAAAGTTTTTAATTTTATAAGATTTTCTATTTTGTTAAGCTGATTTATATTAATTTTTTTTTTTTTTAAGTCTCTATTTTTAGGTATAATAGTTTTTGTAGAATTTGTTATATTGGAGATTTTTTTTTTTGCTTTGCTAAAACTGATATTAATAGCAACTATTATCTTTATTGTGTTTTTAATTATACATATATATAACTTGTACAAAGTAAGTATGCAACTAGCTATATATGCAACTTTTGGTCATCTATTTAAGTAGCTTACTCAAAAGTTCTATACTGGCTATTATACTTGCAATTTACTAGAAAATTACCTATTTAAATACTCTGATTTCTATACTATATTAAATAAATAATTATCTGGTTTCTGTATAACTAAGTGCTGTCTAACCAATTATTAAGTTTCTTTTTTTGTATATTTGTTAGATTGTTATATATTTTAAAGCATTTTATCTAACTGTAAAGCTTCAGAGTACCTTCTTGTTAACTATCTACCTATTATATAAAATATTAATAAAGCTAGCTCATATAGAGTTTACCTAAACTCTAGCATCTACTTTATAGCATATTCTTAGTACTTGTAGTATACTTTTGCTTTTTCTCAAACTTTCAATTTAAATAATCTAAAAATACTATAATTAGTTTTTAATATATTGAATCAGCCTAATATTTTTTTTTCTAGTTTGATTTTGGTAGCCTGATTTTTTTTTTTTTTTAACATGAATTGGTATGTTTTTATTAGGTTATACTAGAAATACATTATATTATTTACATATATAAAGCTTAGATTTTTTTAATGAATCTAGCTATTTTTAGCTTTCTTTGTTTATGCAACATGCTTAAAATTTAACATTTTTTTTTAATCTAATTTCTATTACTCTTCTAATTTTTTCTTCAGAATCAACAGTATTTTTCCATCTTGCTTAAGTATACCATAGGCAGATTTTATAAATAACTGTTAAGTGTAATTATATAACTGTTTTTTGTAACTGTGTATTTGAAATGTTAGACATAGTAAAAATTTCTTTCATCATAGTAGGAAAGGCCTTTTTTAATAAAACATTTAGAAGCTTGTAGCTATAGGTCCATATAATTTTACTAATTCTATAGTCTAAAGCAAAGTGTTCTATAGTTTGTTTCTTATTCTTACAGTTAGAACAGCTTTTATTTATATTTGAATTGATATATACCAACTGATAGCTAAGTATAAAGGCCCTGTTTTGTAATCTTCAAAATATATCTTTTTTCTTATTTTGAATTCCTTTAGTAAATAACCAGTTGAAGTAGTTTATTGAGTGTTCTTGTATTCCAATAGTAATTGAGAAACTGTAAACTTTATTGATTGTATTTATAAAAACTCTGTTGCTTTCTTGACTAAGAATTAATTTTCTAACTTATTTAATATTTTTAGCTCTGTTAATGACTATAACCAGTTGTTGTTTGTGATAACTTTGCTTTCTAGTCTCTTTTAAGCTATTATATAAGGCTTCTAAGCATCTGGCCAACTCTTTAGTTTTATTGTACTTTGATTTAGTGCTTTTAAAACTATTGTTTTTCTTTTATTTTGCAACTGTTGTGAGATTGCAATTTTTTTATACTTCATCCAAAGGTTATTGGATGTTAGCAATTTAATCCAGATAGAGGTAAGTCTAAAGTTTAAGATGTCTTTAAAGACTGAAGCTGTCAACTCTTCTTTTTTAAGATTTAGCTAAAATATTGAGTATTTAGATAATATTTTTGACTTGTTCTTAATTTATTCTGAAATAAGAACATTAATTTTGTCAAGCTGCTTTCTGCTTGGAGGAAGCAGATATACCAAGTATCAGATTTTAGAAATTAATGATGCTTTGGCAATTAGAATCTTTCTCTTAAAGGAGAGATTTCTCAGTTTAAGCTTTGTGATCTTGTGCTTAATACTATCTGTTAGTTCTTTCCATAATCATTTTTTGGAGTTGCCTTTTGAGTCAACTTTGTATCTCAGAATTCTGAATGAGTCATCATTGCTAGCTATTTTAAAATTTTGTTGATTGGGTAGTTTCTCACTATGTGCCATGTTTGTAAGAGGAATTATAATAGATTTGTCTTGGTTTATCTTGGCATTAGTTGTCTTTTCATACTTTTCAAGTAGTGTTAAGACTTTACTCCAGTCTGTAGATGATCCAATTCCAATAGTTAAGTTATCTGCATAAGCTACTGTCTTAAAAGGCTGATTTCTAAGCTTGATTTCTTGAATCTCTTCTTGAAGTTTAAGAATTAAAAGGTTAAAAGTAAGAACATATAGTAAAGGTAATAGTGGGTTCATAAAGCTATCATCAAAGTTCATTTTTTCTAGTACTTGTATAATAAACTTGTGACTTATTTTATTAAATGCCTTTTGTTAATCTAATAGTATAAGCCAGTATGAAAAAAATTGGTTTTCTTAGTTCTTCAGAGTAGTAATGATTTCTAAAGCTGTTTTTACTATCGATCATCCTTTTATAAATGCTTGTTGTAATAAACTAATAATTAAGCTACAAATTTTATTAATTCTATTAGCCAAGATTTTTATAAAAATTTTGACATTACTATTAGTTAGTAAAATAGGTCTCCAGTTATTAATATCATTTAAGTTTTTTGCTTTTTTAGAAATAAGTATGATTATGCTTTTGGATCATGATTTAGAGATAGTGCCTGTTTCCAAACAGTAGTTAAAAAGACCCATAAGTGCAGAAAGAACCTCTTCTTAAATATCTTTATAGAACTTATAACTAAGGCCATCTGAACCTGAAACCTTGTTATTAGTAAGAGAGGTTACTACACTTTTGACTTTATCTTCTATAATGTGCCTTTTAAGTAACATGTTTTGTGTTATTGTAATAGGAGTAAGATTTTAAGTGAAAAAATCAGCCTCATTTTGACTAATTTTCTTAGCTTTGTAAATATCTTGATAAGTATTTCTTATATATTAAACTGTTTTGTTAATATTGTCTAGTTTGAAGTTGTTTGGCAAAGAAATTTTATCTTTTGCTGATGCTGTATTTTCAATTTTATATTGTGTGAAAAAAAATTTTGTTGATTTTTCTTCTTCTTCTATTTATTTAGCATTGAATCTAAGTTGTCATTTCTTAGAAAGAGTATAAAGCTTGTCCTGTAGTTGTATGCTAAGATCTTCTTTTGCTTTAAGAAGATATTCTAAGCTTTCTTCTTTAGCCAATTTGTTGTTTAGTTTAGTTAGTTCTTTTTGAAGCTTTTGTATCTTCTTTTCTGATGCAGAAGGAGGCCTAAAGGCTCTAATTATCAATTGTATTCTGCATTTAGATAAATCACATTTTGAGAAGTCTGCAAAGCTCTTTATTTTTTTGACTATTTCTGTTTTTAATTGTTTATTATTCCAGCAATTTCTGTTGAATCTTTATCGTTTGGTTCTAAGTAACTCAGATATGAAGTTTAGTTCATATTTTATTATTAAGTAATCAGAGTTGCCAAACTGTGTAGTAGTGTATTTACAGGATTGACTGTAATTGGTATCAATAAAGATGTAGTCAAGTCTTGTAGCTATACTGTAATTTTCTTTTATGTTCTGGTGATAAGTAAGAAGTGGTTCCTGATTGTTTAATAGTAATGCTGTATTAATCAGTAATTTCTTTTAGTAATTTTCTCAAAAAATCATTAGCAATTAGTGCATAGCTAATATGATCTTTTTGTGAATTTGGATTTGTGTTAAAGTCACCTTCTACTATATTGATGTGTTCTTTATTAAGTTGCAGGTTCTAATTATTAAAAAGGCATATTCTGTTCTTTGTGTTTAGAGAAGCATATATGTTGTTTAATTAAAAAGAGTATTGTTTGTGTATGAGGTTTTCTGATATTACTTATTTATGATAAGATTCTCTAATATTTTTCAGTTTTATATTATGATTTTCTGTAAGTATTGCTGCTTTAAAAGTCCAGTAAGAGTCAAACTCCTATATTTGTTTTAAAAAGTTTCTTGTATAGATATTTTTTAGATTAGTTTCCTGGAGCATAATTATTCCAAGTGGTATAATTTTAACAGTATAAGTATTTTGTATGCTTTTCCTTTGATGTTCAGTTTTTTGATGTTTAGTAATATGATTTTGATTTTTTTTAACCTTTAAAAAATAATTTAAAAAAATAGAGGTTAAGGTTATGCCTATTGCAGTTCTCTGGCTTTTGTATAGGAAGCTAATGTTCTTAAGACTATAGTTCTTCCCACTTTTGGGGTTGTGATTCTTCTTTTATTTCTATGTTTTTTTCTAGAAATCACTATAAAATCTTGTTCATTCTTTTTATCTATAGAATCAGTATTGTTTGCTCATATATTGTTGTACAGACTTGTAAGTGAGTCCACTGGTATGTTTTTATGTTCTATATTCAGCTTGTTCTTAGTTAATTCTGTTTGACATTCTAATTGACTTTCTTGTTCATTGTTGCTTGTTAACATCTTTGTGTCTGATGTTATTTGATTTTGCATTAAGATGTTTTCATCTTTTGTATTCATTGTTTCAAGTTTTTCTATAGAGTTGTTCATAGTATTCTTGTTTTTTAGTTTTTTGTTTACATAAAGGTTTTCTAAACTAAATTTAAAAGGTTCTTTTATATGTTGTTGAAGCTAAATTTTTTCTTATTTCTTTTGTTTTTTTTATAGTTTATGTAAGTTTCTAGCCTCAACTGAGAGTTTATAGTCTGGGTAGTCTTTTTTTATATAATCTGTTTTATTACAAAAGAAGCACATCTTTGAGGCCTCTCTTTAGTTAGTAGTAACTCTGTGGTCCCAAACATGTATAAATCTAGGAATTTGACTTGTCAAATCTGGGTCATCTGTCATTTCAAAGATTACAACCTACTGGTCTGACATTACAGAGGTTCCTTTGTGGATTAGTGATTTAATCAATGAGATTATGCCAATATCTTGGAATGCTTCTCTAATCTGCTTTAAAATAAATTTCTTTTTTTCTATTGGTGTATTTTGAATTCTGACTAATAAGAAGTTATATCTAATGTTTATAAAAATATATCCTTGTAAGGTTTGTTTCAAGATAGTAACATCTTCAGTTGCATATTGCTGTTATTTGTTTTCATCTGAAAATACAACATCTAAATAGGTTCTTTTGTTTTTGTTAATTACTAGCCAGACTGCAACAAGGTCTTCTCCTATTTCTTGTTTCAAAGCTTTTATGATTCTTGTAGTAGAGATATTTTCTAAACTAAATAATTCAAAGATTAGCATACTCTTATTTTTGGTAATAATTCTTTTTTATAAAGAATAAGTAGAATATATGGCTTTTCTTCTTTCCAATTTTGAGAAAAGATCAGACTACTGTTTTGGTTTAGTTTGTTTATTTTAAGCTTCTGATTAGTTGTTTATATAATTGGATATAGACTTCTCACATGTTGTTTGTTTTGTTTGTTTATCTGAAATTTGATCTTTATTGCTTAAAGAAGCAACTAAAAACAAGTCTTCTTTTTTAAGTTCTGTTGTTTTACTCTTCTGGTCTTTAGAACTTTCTATAGCATATTTTCTGTTTTCTGTTTTTTCTTAGTAATAAAACTATTGAATCTGTTGTTTTTTTCTTGTTTTATTTTTTTGTTTACATCTTCAGAGCCAAGACTAAACTTTTCTTTAAGGCTTGTGATTTTGGTTTTTTTATTTTTGTAACTTGTTGATACTAAACTAGACATAGTTAAACAAGCTTGTTTTCTTTTTTTAGATACAAGGGTTTTAGCCCTTGTGTTGTTTTTAGTAAATTTTTTTAATAAAGATTTAATAGTTTTTTGCTTATTTTGTTTTCTACTACCAAATGTAGATAAAGAGAGAGAGAGTTTTTAGACAGCCTAATTGATAATACCTCTTATTTAAATGTTTTTGTCTGTTTGGCTCTTCTATATTGATATTATCTAAACTAGAAGCATAGTAGAACTTAAATTAAATATCAAAGTAATAGTAATATATTATGAAATAAGTATTACAGTTGAAATGAACTTTACAAAAGCATAGTAGTTTAATAATATGTTCTGACTGCAAGTATTAGTTTTAATTATAGTATAACTAAGTTAACTATAAAAATAAAATACAAAAAATTTTAAAAGATTTAATACAAGGTTAAAACTTAATAACTATAGTATATTTTTACTAATATCAATTAGAGTTATTGATAAATATAAATAGGCAAGTAAATATAAGAACTAAAATATTTAAATAAAAAACTTACAAGGAGATTTTAGATATAACAACTAGTGCAGAACCTTTGAATAAACTATTTAAATTAGACAATAACTAAAGTTATACAAATAAATAGTTATCTACTCTTTTTATAGTTGCTTTTTGCAGTTATAATATAACTATTAGCTGAATATACTATCAAAAAATTCTGGATTACAAGTACTTATCTTAATATTTTTTAAAAAAAAGCATTATAAAAAAAATAATAATAATTTTTTTTATATTATTATATAATTCTGAATTATGTTATTATATTACTTTTATTTTTTAATCTGTAAAGCAGATCAAAATTAATAATATCTTTGCAAGTTCTTAATTAAATTCAAATAAAAAAATTTTTATTAAATTTGGTTAAAAACTTATAAAAATATTATTAATAAAAAAGTTTTTTTTATTTTTAAAACATATGCTAAAGTTCAAATTTTATAAATAACAAAATTTAAAAATTATATTTGTATTATAATAACTGTTTCTATTGATTAGTTGAATTGGTATATCTGTAACCTTTAGTTGCACTATTTCAAATAAGAGCTCAGAACATCTATATAAAATATAATGCTAATGTATATAGAGAAATATTAATAATCAATATTGCATAAAACTTTAATGCAAACCTATAATAAAAAAGCTAAAAAGTTAAAAGTTTACTTAGAAATTCCAAATAAGATAGTAGCATAAACTTTTAATAATACTATTAAACCAATAGAAGTTTATAAAATATCTTCAAATAAATAAGTAAATAAACTAAATAACAAGTTATATAAAGAAGTATATAACCAACTAGGCTGTTAAAATTGATAGAAAAAAAAATACTAAGATATACTATACTGAACTATCTGAATTAAAGGTTTAAAGAGTTCTGTTAATCCTAAGTAGTAATTAGTAAAGGATGATAAAAAAGATATCAGAAAAATAGATATAGATAAAGTTTATAAGAATGTAATAATTTAATAGTTAGTTCTGACAGCAAGTGCTAGTTTAGACTAAAATAATACTGAATTAGCTATAAGTATAGTATACAGAAGGCTTTGATAGGTTTAATACTAAGTTAAATATAATTTAGTAATTATAATATATTTTCACTTAAAAAAAAATGAACACTCTTTTTAATAATTATTTGTATAAAAAGAAATAAAAGTTTCTGCAAAATTGGCATTAGAAAACATCTTAAGTAGTATTAACAAAAAAAAGCAGCAACATAGAAAGCAATATAAAAGTATAAAAAAAAGTGTATTGCAAAACTAATAGTATAGCTATAAGGAAAAAAAATTTAAAATTTTTTTAAAAAACAGCAATAGTTGGAAATTGATATTAGATCTTGTACATAGATCTGTTTACATTACACAAAAAATATATAATAGCAAAACAACAACAAACATATACAGACTACCAAAATAAATTCAATAAACAAGTTTTGCAACAAATAAAAAATTTTGTATATAACTGCACTAGTTCAATAACCTTTTATAACTATACAATAAAAATTTTTTTCTTTTTTTGTAATATTTGTTTTTGTTATTTTTACTATTATAATTTTTCTTTTTTTGCCTATTTTAGAAAGTTTTTTAATTTTCATTTTTAATTTTAAGTTTGTTAATATTATGACATGCTATTTTTATTTTTTTCTTTACTTGTTTTCATTTTTCTTTTAGACATTTATGTTTTGTTTCTATATTTTTTACCTTTTCATTCTTTTTTCTTTATTATAATCAGAAGATGTTTTTATATAACTTTCTTTAAAAATGCTTTTTTTATTATACAAAATTTACTAATCTTCTAGTTTATACTATTATAGAACGAATTATTATTATTTTATTATTATTAGTTATTATTATTATTTTATTATTATTTAGTATTAGTTATTTTATTATTGTATTATTATTATTATTAGTAATTACTAAAACTTTCTGATTGATTAATAATCACTTAGTTGCTTAGTTACTTAGTCACCTAGTCACTTAGTTGCTTAGTAATTAGTCACTTGTAATCATTAGTCATTAGTTGCTAAAATCTTCTAGTCACTTAGTAATCAATTAGTCACTTAGTCACTTAGTAACTTAGTTGCTTAATTGCTTAGTCACTTGGCCATTTAGCTACTTAGCTTACAGATATACTATACAGGTTCTATACTAGATGCCATACCTGCAAGTTAACTATAGGTCTTGCCTATTTAAACCCTTTGCATATATAATCTAACTTGTGATCATAGAGACATCTTCTGAGCTACACCTATTCAAAGTATCTGATGCTTACGAGATCCTTAAAACTAGTTTATCCTTGACAGAAAACTTACTAAATCTTCTATATCTTACACATAGCTGATCTAGTTTTATGCAATATGCTATAGTTACCTAATACTTGCAGTCATAGAGATTACCTGTTTAATCACTATGTTATACTATTTCTACTTTTGTAAAGTTCACTAGAACCCCAGTACCTATTATCGTGATGTCCTCTCTATTATCCTTTACTAACTGCTACTTAGAACTAACAGAACTCTCCTGACTTTCAATCCAGATAGCCTGGTATAATATATGTATGTATTCTTTTTCTCTAGTAATTCTGTTAGTCTAGTTAGTCATGTGCTTCTTTATACATCTTGACATCTGGTTTATCCACCTATCTCTTTGGAGGTGTTTTATAAGCTTCCATCAGTCTGATCATATTGTCAAAAGTTCATGCTACCTTTTTACTCAGGAATTTCCAAGTAAGCTTCTGACTCTTCAGTTTCTTAGTTTACTGTACCTAGTGGTCTTATTATGGGTTTGTACTGAAGTTTTATATGATACCAGTTATTAACATTCCTCTATGTATGTGTAATATTATACTTGGCATAGATGACCCAAGCTCCTATTCAAGATAATGTAACTTAAGATTACAAATACACAAATCCAACTGATCGTTAAGAAACAGTTTGCCGTAATATAGATTAATTTCCAAATTTTATTATAGATAGGATTTGAACCTTAGACCTGCCATTTGGAGGATAACAACCTAACCACTACACTAGAATCACCATCTTTATTCTTTTGATTACTTATACGAATTTGTTGTTATTTATTAATATAACCCATAAAACATCTTTATATATTTTTTCTATTTGTATTATTGCTAAGACCTTATACTTTGATCTTTTAATTTTTACTATATAAGTTTTTCTAAATCTTTTGAAAATATATTCTAATTCTCTTTTGTTTATATTTGTTGATAAGTTCCAAATTATTAGATAATTTACATTCTCTGATTTCTTGTTTATTTTGTATTGGTTTTCATTTGTTTTGATTCATTTTCTTTTTATTTAAGTTTTT